AGTCAGTGCTGACTCAGAGTAAAGGCCTCGGAAACCCTGGATAGTGCCACTCTGAGCTGGAACTGACTGGATGGCAGCCGGTTTGGTTGGTTGGTTGGTTGGTTGGTTTGGGTCCCTGGATAGTGCCACTCTGAGCTGGAACTGACTGGATGGCAGTGGGTTTGTTCGGTTGGTTGGTTTGGGTCAGGAGCAGCAGATGAACTGCCCTAAGATGTAATACAAAAGTAGACCAATAGATGGCTCTGTGCCTTTACCAGGCTTGTGAGGCGGCCTCCCACTCCCTCTTGCTACCTCTCCCCACCCCACCATCAAGGACAACAGGTGCACTAAGCTAACCCGTCAAGGATTCACTTCTCTGTGTCTCTTTCAGTAGAAACTGCCCAGCTTCAGACCTGTAGCAGAAAAGCCTTCAGCACTGGAGAGTTTTCGCTAACTATGGCTGCATTGATCCAGTGGGAACAATGATCCTTAGTCCTGCTCGGCGGAGCCACCTTTACATGATGAAAAATACGAGCACTTCACAAAATCCAAAATCTTTCACTTTCGTATTTGTGCAAATCAAAATAAACCTCAGTTCTACAGTGCCACAATGCACAGTATATAATCATCTCCCAAATGTTTCACTAAACCGTGAAATAACTCAGCCAATAAACAAATATGGTGATGGGTCAGGAGGATCATATTCAACATGCTTATCAAATGGAAACCTGAGCCTCTAAACTGGACACAGCTTCAGGGAGGAAGGAAACAATACACATAAGAATAAACGGGTGAAAACAATTATACTTGTCTCGGGTTAAAAAAGAAAAGTGTATAATTATTTTGACTTTAATATGTTGTTGGTCAGTGCCATGGAGTGGGCTCCAACTCGGAACAGCCCTATGCACGCAGAAGGAAACACTGCTGGGTCCTGCGCCATCCTCACAATATTCTCGTGCTTGAGCCCAGTGATGTGGCCACTCTGTCCATCCATCTGGTCGAAGGTCTTCCTCTTTTCACTGCCCTGCTACTTAACAAGCCTGATGCCCTTCTCCTGGAACTGGTACCCCGTGATAACATGTCCAAAGCACACGAGACGATGTCTCTAAGGAGCCTTCTCAATGTACTTCTTCAAGAGTATATATGTGTGTGTTCTCTATACTCACTCACCAACTGCACTGTCAGATAGTCAATGCTGACCCATAACAACCTTACAGCATAGAACAGAACTGTTCTATCGCGTTTTCAAAGCCGTAACTCTTTACAGAAGCAGCCAGTGACACCTTTTTCTTAAGGATTGACTCATGGATTTGAACTACTGACTTTGAGGTTAGCAGCCAGACACGTTAACCACTATGCTACCAGGGTATGTGTGTTGGGCTGGGTTGTTTAGATAAACAAAACCCGGGCACTCATATATGTAGGAGAAAGAGATGTCTGTCAAGAAAGTGGCCCACTCAGCTGCAGAGCAGGCCAGCGCAGTCCAACTCCAGCCCCTGGGTCAGATGCTATTGGGCAGCTTCACCTCACGCGGCTGCCCCATGAGGAGCCAGGAACTGAAGCAGGAGGCAGGAAGACTGCAAGCCATAGTCAAGTGGATCCAAGGTAGGGAACATGGTACGTCACCAACAGTTCCCAAGGGTCAGAAGGCCACATGATGGCCACTGGCTTGTGTCCCCAATAGCCAGCCCTAGGAATAGGGCCAGCCGCAAGAGGAAGAGGGAGGTCCCATTCTCCACAGAGAGCAAATGGACAACCCGAAGACGTCAACCGGCTGTGACCTGACTGAGAGGTTGGACTCTGTCTCTTGGTACAAGTGTAGCCAAGTTGACAGAAACCTAAGTGCCACGCGATGTACGTCTATGTCCCAATTACTAACATACATAGAGACACACACAGGAAGGCACTTCAAAGCTTGTGGGGAAATGGAATGAAAAGATATTGATATTTTTCCCATAGGATTTTTGAAGCCTCCACGTGTGTTCTGTATGTATGTATGTATGGACACACACCCCCACACAGGTAGGTGAACAAGTATTGCTACTAGAGTTCCAGCTCATAAATGTAAGGGTTTATTCCAAATGTTGAGATATATCTGAGATCAGTGGATGGCTGCACTTCTCAGGAATATCCTGTCTCCATCTCATTCAACAAAAAACCCTCCCTGGACCTGAATTCCTTCCAACAGGTGGCGCAGCCCCACGGACACAGCAGCACTGCTGCCCCTGTGGGTTCCTGGGGCCGTGAATCTTTAGGGAGCAAAAGCCTGGGCTCTCCATCAGGAGAGGAGCTGGTGGTAGTTACTGCTGACCTTGCAGCTAGCAGCCCGGTGCACTCCACAATGCCACCAGGGAACCTGAAGCTGCTTCAATCAAACCCCCAAAACCAAACGTCCCCGCCAAACAGTGCCTTCAGAAGAGATGTGGCAGGCCAGTTCAATTCAAGGACCAGAAGGTTCTGGCAACGGGTTTATTGAATTCCAAAGGGGTTATCTTGATAGATTTCTTTGAAGGGCTCGGAATGGAAGGTCACAGTGGCTCATTATAAAAATAAGAAAACTGAAAACTATCTTGTTGAGAAAACGAGGAAAGCTGAGCAGGACATGTTCTTCCCTCACGACGACGTGCCTGCCCTTTCTTTAAGGGCAGCAAGCGCTGTCCTACGAGAGTTTTGCTGGGAAATCCCATCCCCTCTCCTCTCACCATGCTCTGCTCCTTCAGACTTCTTTGTGTTCTCCAACCACCAAGAACACTTACATGAGTCCCCCGAGGAAATGGAAGAGCGAGGTGACCAGATGTCCCGCTTTTGGCGGGACAGTCCTGATTTTTAACAATTTTTCCCCGCGTCCCGGGGTGTTTTAAAAAGGTCCCCATTTTTTGGAAAGAATGCACGACAAGCTAGGATATACAGTTTTTGGCTGCCATGTGGCTATTTCACCAGGATATGAGTTTTATCAATGGTGTCCCACTTTTGTCTCGCTTTACCAATGTTAAAATCGGGTCACCTTATGGAAGAGCAAAGGACTTTTCAGGGAAGGGTTAGAGAGAGACACCACCATCGGATGGAGGACATGTTGAGAAACGGTAGCTTTAATTTTTGATATTTTTGTGTAATAAAGGTTCCTAGGATTTTGTAGCAATGCTTTTTTATTTACCCTGCTGTGTGTGTGCATGTGTGCTAAGTGCTCTATACCACTAGTGGTATACTAGTGGTAAATGATAATATTTACTAGTAAACTATAACATTTACTAGTGGTAAATGATAAGATCTTTCATATTCTTATGTGGAAAAGCACCATTATTTTCTTCAAATTCATCATCAACTATCAAATACACTCCAGGATAAGAGATTAAATTGCGGTTTTAGTCTCTGATACCATGGACAAGGATTTCTGGGACATTCTTTCCGAGTTGTTTTGAATCGGCCAACACACATGCATACACCTGCACACAAAGGCCTCCAAGAAGCGTGTGCAGGAAGAGCGTAGGCTTGAGTCAGAGGCTCTGCAACACGCGAAGGGGGCCTTGATCAATTATTCTCCACTCGGAGCCTCAAGGTTCTCGTGCAAAAGCAGGATACCAGTATGTGTCTCCGGTGATTGAAACAACCAATTACTGGCACACTGACTAGTTCCTACGATTTCCTCCTTTCACGCTGTCTAAAAAGCCAGAGTTTGTTTTACTTTATATGTCAAATCTAGGCTTTTCCTGGAATAGTTCAATGTGAATATTCTTTCCTAAAACAGAAATGGAAGCACTTTGGCTCATTATCCACAAAGGAAAAAAACAAAACAAAGCCAAAGCTGTCAGCTATTCTGCGGTGGCTGAATCATAGCAGATACATGAATTCATAAACTGACCTTGTTTGACATGGATTTGCCAAGAATATATGTTCACAATGTGTTACTTAGGGGTCCTATCTACAGGTGACCGAAACTCAGCTGAAGCAGGTTTTAAAAGGCCCGTGTCAGGGAGGGAGGTGGTGATGTGGGAAGGGGGGGCCTCGTTTCCAGGAAGAGAAGCACTACGGAGCAGCATCAACACAGATGCAGCGGGGCTATGAAACCAGACGTCAGGCGCTCGCCATCTGCTTTCTCAGCTGTTTCTCTCTGTGTATGAACTCTATTCTTCTCTGTCTGCAGACTGTCTATCGCTACAGGCTGAAAATATGCCAGGAGTTCCCAAGTGTTATAGTTTACGGCGTTTGCTGCCAATGAGAGACTAAGTTCTACTTTGCAGATCATCAAGCCCAAAAGGCCCAGAGGAAGCCTTGGACCGACCTGAGCTGGGCCACTACCCACACCTGAAGCGCCAGGAGCCGGGATGTTCCCTCGGGGACTTTCCAGAGACGGGATGGATGCAATGATTTCACTTCTTTTCTCTCAAGCCCAAATTCAGACTAACACATGAAAATGAATTCAGTGACTGGTAGTAAAGAAGTGAATTTAAAAACGGATACAAATGTGATTTGGAATTATTGATGAATACAAAGCACTGACAAGGAACTTTAGAGTGACAGGTGAATTACTGATGAATGCAACGATATATTAGCAATGAGCTGCGAAGCACACAGCTGGACACGTCGTGTACATAATGACAAATCACAGCTTTCCCAACTGGAATTGATTTAAAATACGGTTTCCTCTGTTTAAAAGAATGCAAGAAAGCATAAGCAATTAAGCAACCACCTTTTTACAAGGAGGAGAGCTTCAAAAAGTGGGAAAATTGAATGCAAGAATAATGGGTTGCACTATTGAATTGTATGATATGTGGATTATATCCCAATAAAACTGTTTTTTTTAAAAAGAGAAAATAATCGGATTTACCCACAAACTTTTATGAAGCCCCCCACATACTTGCAGCTGTATTTTTAAGGAGCATACTGGGAATTGACTGCATCAGCAGTAAGCAGTTGAAAGCCTAGAGTGGGCAGGGCTCTGAAATGTCACCAGAGTATCTGCAGAGATGATGAAACACGGGGCACACAGTGTGGCTTTCTTCGAAAGAGAAATGGTCACTTACCATGGTACCAGGGTATCTCTCAGCTCGCTCCAGTTCAAAAGACCTTATTTTATGGGTACTTATTTCATCCGTGTCAGCAAAGATATAATGCCTTGGAGTGTAATCATTCGACAAGCTTGCAAGCAGTCTCAGGATTTCTGTGGTATGCCCACCTGAAAAACATGTGGGAAGGTCAAATGTTAAGAAACCTACAGTAGACATATATGCCCATCTGATCATGTCACACCAAAGCTATGCTTCCTGGGAACACACACACACACACACACACACACACACACTGAAAGACAGAAAAAGCCTTTGGAAAATACGTGTCTGTGCTTATGTAAAAAGCAGTTGGCTGTGGGAGCCCACGAGCTAGGCTGGGCTGCGCAGGTGAGCAGCAGTGCCGCGGGAGCAAGGTGGGGCTTTCTATTCCCATCAACAGTCAGTCTTGGAAACAGAGGGGGCAGCTCTATCCTGGCCTACATGGACGCTACCTGTCAGCATCGATGGCAGTGAGTCTGGGGTTTTTCTTGGCTTATACGGGGGTGGAGAAGAACTGGTATAAGAATTTAATCAACACTAGCAGTAAGTGTTGAGGGAAGTATAAAGAAGTACTTAACTCAGTATACAGATGCAAGACAGCCAAAAAAAGCTCACTTAGCCCAATGGACTAATGGGCCCACAAACTTCAGCCTCCCTGACCCTGAGTCAGAAGAACTAGACAGCCCCTGGCTACCACTACCAACGGCTCTGCCAGAGAGCACATTAGAAGGTCCTGGTTAGGATGTGCCAAAAATGTGGAACAAAATTGAAAATCATCACAAAAAGACCAGGCTTCTTGGGCAACAGAGAGTAGTAGAACTCCTGGGGCTCTGGCTCTTAGTCACCAGTCAGGTCTGGTAATGACTCACCCTCATGTCTCAATTGTCAGCCAAACAACAGACAAGGGTGTACGGTGAACAGTTACCCTAGGGAGGTACGCACACCTTAGACTAGCCAGCCATTTACGATGAAAAGGGCAGCATTTGTCCAAGGACCACGTGATTACGGAAGGAGGAAGGGACACAGGAAGCGCAGGAAGGAAGCGGGATCCGTGATGCCACACGGTGGAGACTGCACTCAGTGACATGAAAGAAAATGTGCATGGAAGGAAAAACATAGGGCATGCAAATGGTTATGAAAACCCAATGCCAACAGAGTAAAGGAGAGCCCTGGTCAAGGCTGAGAGGTGAGTCGGAAGATGAAGACCAGGGACAGACAGGATGAGGGAGACCACTGGGCAGGGTGGGGATTCCATGGGGTGAGATAGCAGATTTCACACAGAAATTCTACTGAGGAGGGTGAGGTGATGGAAGCCCAGGAAAGTAGGGAAGTTAAAATGGGAAGCCTGTCACTAAGGTAAAGGCAGCCCGAGATCTGAGCTGCCGGGCCCTGTCTTCTCCCCAAGGAGGAGTTTCGCTCACTGCTGTACTCTCAGCTCCTAGCAGGGCTCTGGGCACAACGCAGGTCTGTAATAAAGATTTACCAGCTTTGCTCACACAACTCTACGTTCCATTCTTTACATCATACAATCTCCAAAATTGAACATGGAACAATGTTGACACGGCAAATGTGATGTCACATATGTTTACCACAAAAAATAAAAGCATAAATTTAAAAGATCAATTGTGCTTCTGGCGGTGTCCTTCCTGGGGGAAAAAGCCAGAGCATGTGCCTACTAGTTGAACTGTAAATGTAAGGTTAGCTCACACTCATGTAAGCAAAGCCTTCCAAATTCTTACCAACACGTCTCTCCACGCCATGCCACAGTCGAATTCGTTTTACAACCTCTCTGCCTCTGCCAGGTTAATGCCCTTACCATGCTCTTGACCCGTCTTATTTGCTGTTCCCTTTATCCGTAAAGCACCTTCCCCAGCGCCATTGTTGCTGCACGAAAAAGCTCTCAATAGTGACAGTGAACGCATAGGATAAGCAAACAAATCCATGGTGCTCAAATCAACAGATTTTCCTTGTATAGTAGAAAAGGAAGGGGTTTCTGAGGCAGTTACATAATCTGTCAACTTGCGAAGGGGTGGAGTCTAGCCTGTCAACCAGGTCACAGCTTGATGGCCTCATTTGGAGGGTCGGAGGAGATAACTAGCTCACTGGAGGCCAGAACCACCCAGATTCTCTCTGCTTGTCTCCGTGGGAGACTCCCTGTTGACAAGCCACATGGAGCCACACTGATGGCAGCGAGGGCCCTGGAACTGGAGGAGCCACCTGGAGACCCATGCCAGCACTGAGGTGCTTCCACCACCACTGAATCCAAAAGACTGCACCCGCTGACCTGTGATTGTCCTGCATTCAGCATCGCTGCATGTGTTGCGTGAGTCTGAAGAGGAATTTATAGATGGGTATTGGACATATGGGCTAATATTGGACTTATGGATTTTATCTGGACTGGGCTGTTTTCTTAATATACAATTGCTCTTTTATATAAAGCTCTCCCTTATACACATGAGTGTCTTTGAATTTGTTTCTCTAGTCAACCTAGACTACCAGTTTCCTCTGGATTCTAAAAGGCATTAGACTTAGAAATGAAAGGGAGATATATTTAGCATAAGTCTCAGGAGTTAAAGCCATATTTTAACTTGATAAATTGCTGCCCATTTTCTTGCTTAGGGCAAGTAATTCACACTTTTGATTTATACTCATTTTAGTATCTTTATTTATAGCCTTGAAAGAAGTATGGTGGTTTGCAAAGTAGGTACTTGTTTTCACAGCTGCAACAATTAAGGATTAAACCTAACAGTCACGGCATCTTCCACAGCAATTAAAACTGCATGGTACCTGCAATTGGTCTCCACTCACCTGAGCAAGTGAGAAAGGGGAGTCATGAATAAGAGGATGCGGGCTGTGTGGCTATTTGCCCCTATGGATAACTACCCCCACTGTGCCAGGAGACTAGAACGGGATGGTGCCTGGCTACCACGACTGAACATTCTTGATCTAAGATTCTACAGAAGAATCCTGACCAAAGAGGAGGGAAGATGAAGGATAGAATTCATATTATCGTGCAGCCCAGACTTTCTGGAGCCATGGAAGCTGCATAAACTTCTGAAACCATTTCTCGGAGATCATCTTCAAACCTTAAACCAAAAAGATCTCCTGGAGAACTGCTTTGGCTTAACGAGTAAAGGATGTCTGCCTAAGCATTATGCACTTTTAGGGTCAGTCCCTACGGGATCAAGTGGATAACAGCACCTTGAAAGATCCGAAAGGAACCGTAGGGCACAGTGAGTTCATGTTCACGAAGGAGGCACAACCAGAAGACAAGGTAGACGACGGCTGGACAACTTGAAGATGTCATCAATGTCACTGGATTTTACACGAAGATCTTGTTGACGTGGTGTATGTGCTACTGTGCACATTTCTCCACCACAAAAATATATGATACATCCAACATCTTCACTGTGCGTGTTTTAACAGGTTTTTTTCTTTTTTAGTGAACCCCTCATTGTATGTATTCATTGAAAATTTAACCTTGTAACTGAATAATTATTGAAGTGAAGGCTGTTGTCTTCCACTGTACATTTTTATCAGCTAACCTTCTTTGGGAAGGCACTTCTCTCGACTCTACCTTCAAACACTTCGAGAATCCAACCACTTCTCCGCACCTCCTTGGGCAGGAGCTCTCACGGGGATCAGGACGGAGGCCTCCAGGCCAGTTCCACTGCCCGCCCCTCCCCCACCAGTCTATTCTCCAGACAGCACTGAGGGAGAGCCTCTTGCAAAGAATGATCAAGTTTGTTAGCTCTGCTCAAAACTCTCCGGTGGCTTCCCCTCTCAAGTCAAAGGAAGGATCCTAATCTGACCCCACTGTTAGAGCTCTGACCCCATCTTCCTCTCCTTCCCCACTTGCTCAGGCCACTTGGTCCTCCTTGTGGCTCCTCCAACAGAGCCCGCATAGCCCTACTGTACTGGCTCTGCACTCTTGCCTAGGCCATCTGCTGCTCCCGTCGACACTCTTTCGTCCCTCACGATTTATTATGGGGTCTATTTGTTGCTATCTACTTTTGTAGCACTGCCCCACCCCCTGCCCCAAGCCCCTACTGCACTAGAAAGTGAGCACTGTGAGGGTGGGATTTTTGCTCGTTTTTGTTACTCCAGTGCTTAGAAAGAAGCAGGTACTCCTAATGCTGAGTGAATGAAACAGGGAGTTCAATATGATACATATAAAAGCTGTCAAAGGATATTATAGAATAATTTGGACATCTTTTGAATATAATCATTGCTATGGACTCAATTCTGACTCATAGCAAACCTATTTAGGACAGAGTAGAAACACTCCTTAAAGCTTCTAGGATTGCAGATTTTGACATGACCTGCCAGCCTCTTGTTTCTCTCTTGGAGCAGCTGGTGGGTTTGAGCCACTGACCTTGTGGTTAGCAGCCCAAGTCTTAGGCCACAATGCCACAGAGCTCCTTTTCTGAATGCAAATGGTCTCTTAGTAATACTGCATGGCATCTAAAGATAAAGCATTGCTCGGTCTTCAGGGTAAGCACTGGCAATATCTCCCTCCCCCTCTGAAATTGTAGTCATTAATTATTAAACCGCTTACCTCTGCTACACTTGCCCCTGACCCCTTCCTACCCAGAAGGATTTGGATAACCGAGACTACAACTTACTAGATGAGTTCTCAAATATTAATTGTGGTTCTTCAACGAAAACCAAGCTCCAACGCTGTCAAGTTGATTCTGACCCACAGTGACCGAGAGGGCAGAGAAGTGCCCCAGTCAGGTCTCCAAGGCTAGAATCTTCAGAAAACAGATTCCAAATCATTCTCACGAGGAGAGGCCACTGGGTCTGGGCTCTGAGAGTAGCCCTGCACTTAACCCAGTCCACCAAATTTCATCTATCAAGCGAGTGGCTCTCAACTCCATCCCTTCACTCAAGCCCAGAAACTGAGCATCACCCTTCAGTCCTTCGCTCCCTTCACTTCTATTTTCAATACGCCAGTCCTGTGGACTTTATCTCCTCAATCTCCCATCCCCAACTGCCATCGTCCTCGTCAGACCACCATCTCTGTCACCTGAATTACTGAAAAGGTTCCTATTGGTCTCCCTACCCAATTCTTGTCCCCATCAGAACATTCTCCCGACCATGGAGGATCAGTGATCTTTGTAAACACTTAGATCAGATCACTTGGGCCAGTCCTCACTTTAAAATACTTAGATTGCTTTGCTACAAGAGCTTCCTAGAGTCCACTTTGCAAAGCTCTTTAAATATTATATCTCTCCCAATCCACGCTTTTCATGGTGAGCACAGACATTTTGATGAGATTAACTGATTTGCCCAAATAGGTTGCAAAGGTATGATTAGACACAGGGGCATGTGCATCCAGAGGCAGACGTTTCACAAGGTCTGGCGCAGTGGAGGAGCAGCAATCGCCGGGTCGAGCAGGATTTGAAAGGTCCTGCACCTGGCCTGTAGAGAGCTCTGGGGATGGTCGCGGTGACTCGTTGGTCGGTCGGCAGTGTGAAACCACTCGACCCAACAGTACTCCTTCATGCAGCCTTTGCAAGTGCTGTCCCTTTCCCATGCTGCGGTCTGGTTCCCGCCCGTCACGGCAATTGTTGGTCATCTTCTGGGTCTCAGTTTCCACCCCTTTTCCCCGGAAGCTTCCTGTTCTAGAGTGGTGCCCTTCCTGGAGAAGTCTACAGCAATCTGTACACATCACAGATGATCTTAATGCGGCTAGTGCTGGTTTGTTTGGCGGTTCCGGTCGATGTTCTGTAAGGTGAAGCACTCGGCTGCTAAACAGAGGGCTGGTGGATCAAACCTAGCAGCAGCTCCCTAGGACAGTGTGTTAGGCAGGATTCTCTAGAGAAACAAAACCAGAATGCTAATAATTTTATATAGATTTATATAGATAGATATATCACATAAGAAATAAATTATAAAGCAGTACAAATGTCTCAGTGCAACTCACTCCCGTGAGACACGGTGAAACACTGGCAGTCCTTCAAGTCTTGAGGGCCGCCATGTAGTCCTCTGTAGAGAAATTCAAGCTATTCGGACACAGGCAGCAAACAGCAAGGCAACCGCACACTGGTCCGATGATCAAAGAGCAAGAGACAAGAAAGGCGAGACTCGCGGAGCCATTTATCCCTCCGCCCTTCAATTAATCCCACACGTGTTTATCAGCCAGGTTGGCAAAATAAACTAACTACCTCAGACAGAGACCGGCAGTCTGCTCCTATTAAGATTGCAGCTTACACATCCCTCTGGGGCAGCTCTACTCTGTCTCACACAGGTCACTCTGAGTCCGAACTGTCAGGACAGCAGTTTTTCTGCACTCCGTCACAGCTCTGGTCTCCCGCTCTCCCAGTGCCCCCCCCACAGCGCTCGTGGCAGACAGTCACTGTCTGTTTGCACAGCTGTGGGAAACAGAAGGATTTCTCGTCTCCCCCAGATATATGCCAGACTTAGCTGCTTGCGAATGACTATACACTTGGAGGTGATCCGGAGTAGATTAGGGGTCATTCTCCTTAAGAGCTATCAGACATCTAGACCAAGCAGACACCACTGTTTATCCCACAAGTAGGGCCCACTCTCTTCTGATAAGGATAGTAGTTGTCTGTTTCCTTGTAGGAGACACCAGAGAGGTCAAACCCGCCCAAGGAGGACCAAGCTTAAGCTGCCATCATGAATCCAGGGTCCGCCCATCTTGTCACATGTATACCCCTAGACCTTCCCATTCCTATGGGCACACCCCTAGCTCATCCCCTTCCTGTTACGCTGATGTCTATCATAGATCCCCTTCCTACAATGTGTATGCCTATTGTACTGCCCCTTCCTGTGACATGTGATTCTGTAATGATGTCCCCCAAAAGTGATATAACAATTGGTTAGCAATAAAGAAGAGACTCTCTCTGGCTCCCAGGGCCCGGGAGCTCTCTCCGGCTCTCAGGGGCCTAGAGGCTCTCCGGCTCTCAGGGGCCTAGAGGCTCCCCGGCTCTCAGGGGCCTAGAGGCTCCCCGGTTCTCAGGTTCCGAGGCTGTTCCTGCTCTCGTTTCCCCCCACGAGGACCATCAAGCGGGGCTGAGGTGAGCAATGCTACCATGAATTGTGTCTGACTCCATTTATTCCAATCTCTCCTCTATCTCTCATGCTCTCTATGACTTTACTATAACCCTTACTTATCGCTGTACAATTGTGCCTACCGGACCTGTGATGATTTGTGCGGTCCCCTCTCCCATTCTCCCCACACACAGCTTAGCTTCGTGTCTGGCCACTCCAATGGCTCAAAAAGTACTAGGTGAATAAAGTCAGGATTATACCTCTACATAATTTTAGAATATTTTCACACAATAAATATTCTATGGGCAATACCCAGCTATGAACATCTGACTTAAATGTACCACCCTTGTTACAAATCAACTCCTGTAAAGTTTGTTATATTAAAAATTTAAGTACAAACTTTTTCTATGGGTGTGGAGAGGGTAATAATTATTATAAAATAGATCATCAACAGTTAGTAGTAAGTGCCAAAGAAGGCAACAAAAATACTGATTTCTATATACAGATGCAAGGCAGCCCCTACCTCCCCGCCTCTCAAAATTACAATATTCAATTAGTGCAAAGGACTAATGGACCACACAAAGATTTGCCTCTTGGACCATGAGACCAGAAGAACTAGATGCAACTGTTCTGAGAAGGATCCTATTAGAAGGTCCTGGATAGAGTGGGAGAAAAACGGGGAACTAGACTGATGGAACTCCCAAGATTATAGCCCTTAGTCAGCGTTTAGGTCACAGTTCAGCCAAACAAGAGGCCCATCTATAAGAGAACAATAACATTCGTGAGGTATACACATCTTAGAATAACCAGCCATTTGTTATCAAAAGGACAGCATTTATCCAGAGACAAAGTTCAGAAGGGTTAAGAAATAAAACAGACCCTCACTATCACGACCCCAATTCTACCTTACACATCTGGCTAGACCAGAGCATGTACATGGGTACAGATAAGAGCTGGAAACACAGGGAATCCAGGACAGATAACCCCTCAGGACCAATAATGAGAGTAGGGATACCAGGAGGGGAAGGGGAAGGTGGGAGAGAAAAGGGGACACTGATCACAATGATCTACATATAATCCCCCTCCCAGGGGGCCAGACAACAGAAAAGTAGGTAAAGGGAGACATCAGTCAGTGTAAGCCATGAAAAAATAATAATTTCTTCATGAGGGAGGGAGGGAAAAATGAGGAGCTGATATCAAGGGTTCAAGTAGAAAGAAAATGTTTTGAAAATGATGATGGCAACAAATGTACAAATGTGCATGATGCAATGGATGTATTTATGGATTGTGAAAAGAGCTGTATGAGACCCCAATAAAAGGATTTTTTTTTAAGAAGAAGAAATAAAGTGGAATGGCCAAAGGAAACCCAAGGAGGAAGTGGGATACATAATGATCATTCGGTGTTGCAAGTGATAAAATGAAGCAAAATTTTTTGGAATTTTTGAATGGAAAACTGATCTACTCTGTAAACTTTCACCTAATTCACCATAAGTTGAAAATAAAACTCAAGTTACATACAATGGTTCACAATAATAAATGGGTGAAACTTTGCAATATGAATCAAAGTGTTATTATTGTAATAGTATGTCAATGTTTAAATGTATCTTTAAGTTTTTGCTTACTGTTATTTTTATGCATACACAGGCACACGGTATACTATAGCAAACAATTTACTCTCAAAAAAACTAACAAGAAAAAACAAGCTCATTTACATTGAGTTGATTCCAGCTCACTGAGACTCTATTGGGAAGGCAGAACTGGTGTTTTCCAGACTCCTTCAGTGTACCTGGTGGTTTTGAACTGCTAGCTTTGTCTTAGCAGCTCAATGCATAACTAACCCACCAGGACTCCAGTACACAACGGTCCGACTTAACAAATTTAACTTAAAGACAGGAACAGAACTCATTCTTAATCAGGGCACTGCCTGAATATGGATGCAATCTCCCGGCATTTACAAATGTACCCATTATATATATGCCAAAACTGCTCATCTACAATTTTAAGGGTCTGTGGGGCTGGTGGACTGAAACTGTTTAAAGTACATTCCCTGATAGGAGTTTGGGGTTCACATTGACACTACATCTTGTGTGTTTGCTCTTTGGTCCTTAACAAAACTGTATTTATTCTCGTGGATTTTAGGTATTTATAAAGGTAACTATTCACTTTGCCTCATTTATCATGTAGTGTTCATGTTTGCTAAATTAAATGGAAAATCCTTCGATTAGCAATGCAAAAACCATAAATTTTCAAACAAAAGTATAATATACTAGCATCACAAAATTTTTGAGTCTTTTTGTCCATCATTACTAGTCAGAAAAATATATGTAACTGAGAGGCTGCGTTACAGTTACTGAAGTGTAATAAATTAAAGGACGCCACGACGGCTTTAACGTCCCTGAAAATCACAGCCAAGAAAACATTATAGGGCCGTTCTGCTTTTGGATAGACGGGGTCGTCTTGAGAAAGAATCAACTTGATGGCAGTGGGTTTGGAGTTTTTTGGTCAGCAGTCGCAAGCCAAGTTCACTAGCTTTTTGCCTGGGCCGACTGATCCGTGTCGATAATGAGGAGAAACTACAAATCCCAGGAGGCAGTGCTTCACGTGGGTCTAAGAAAACCAGCTAGCTGTGCCACGATGCATTCTGGGGTTTGTAGTGAAGATCAAAGCTTGGCTCTCGCCGCCGAGATACTTACCGGACCCAGCCACTACCAACAGACTGAGCGACTTGCGGGGCACAACGACTCGATGATGAAGCACCACCCAAAGCCGCAGTCCTATGAAGACGGCCAGGCACCCTCCTCCCAGCGCTGCTAGAATTAGGGAACACGCCATTACAAAAACAAAACAAAAGCACTCGTGTACTCCTTCCTGGAGCCAACTGGTGACGTGTAAAGTCCGAAGACTACGGGCGCCGAGAGGTGCCAAAACTGTCCATCGTGGTGAACTGAACTTGCGAGAAGTGGGAGGAGTTAAGCGTCGCTGATGCAATCGCGCACCAACGGCGCGGGCTTTTGGTCTGCGGACGCTACCCCGCAGCCGCTCCCTGGGAGGGGAGAACGGGCGGCCATCTGAAGACCGGAGGTCCTCGAAATCCAAAGGGGCAGTTCCACCTTGTCCTGTCGGGCCGGAATCCACTCGATGACAACGAGTTTGAGTAGTGTGCAAGCAAAAGGCGGAATATGAAAGGTTAATCCGTGAAGTTTGATTGTCTGCCGTGTCAGATCCCCTGTGCGCCCTAAGCCCACAAAGCGCCCGTGGGAGCCAGTGTTCAGCTCAAAACCGCCTAAGGTTACTAGCGTAACACCCCCCACACACACTTGTTGTTGTTCTTAACTGCCTGAAAAATGTTCTGTCACATACTTATAAAAGTCAGATGCTTAGGTATAAAAAAATAAAACCTGTATTTAAAGATTGGATACCCAAAAAGTAGCCGACACCGAATTTAAGGCTCCCACTCAAACTGCCTAGTTTCCATCACGCGTGCTTTTAACTTTCCACCGTCGGAATGAGTACCCTAAGTGAGGGTTCCCGAGGGAAGGATGGGAGCGAGTGGTTCAGGGTTGTTAGCTGCCCTTGCTGGAGTCGGTTCTGATTCATAACTAACCAAACTCACTGCCGTCTGGTCGATGCTCACTCAGAGTGACCCTTTAGAACTGCCCTGTGCGTTTCGGAGACTGTAGCTGTTACAGGAGTGGAAAGACCCATCTTTCTCCCTGGGAGCAGGCAGGTGGTTTTGAACTGCAGACCAGCCCATTGCTCAAGCACTAAGCCGCCAGGGCGCCAAGCCCAAAGCTCCTAGCGACCCTCTAAGTACAACAGAAGGGCACGCTGCCCGTCTCGTGTTGTGTCCTCTTCCCCATGGTTATGTTTGAGCCGATGGCTGCAACCACCATGCGAGTCCATCTGGGGGAGGCTCTTCCTTTCTCCCTGCCTCTCTACCAAGCATAACTGGTTTCTCCAGGTGGCATGTCCAAAGTACTAAGAAGTCCTGCCATCCTTGCTCCTCACGAGCACTACAAACTTTTTAGTTTGTTCTGTGTCCTGAGCCAAAATGATGATCTAGTAGCACCTCCTGGAACCGCCATTTTCTTTCTTTCTATCTGTACTTAATCTGCATTCAGCTACGTAAAAATGCCAAGATTGGAGAAGCCGCTGCATCCCAATACAGTTTACCTTCCATTTCCCAGAGGCCTGAGACAGATGAATCAGTCCAGAAAGGTGAAACATCTTGTCCTAGTGAAATAAATGGCAGAACTAGAGTCAGATACCAAGAATCCTAATTTATACTGCATGGCGACACTACACCGTTTATTCTTCTGCTAAATTCAAACTTGACTTGCCTAGAGCTGCTGACTCAGAATCTCTAGAGTAGGGGCCAGGGAGCCGCATATCTGATCAATGTGTCAATGCCTCTCTCTGCCTCAAGTCTGTGGCGACTCATAGGGACCCTATAGGCCAGGGTAGAACTGCCCCAGGGTTTCCAATACTGTAACTTGTTTGCAGGAGTAGAAAGCCTGGTCTTTCTCTTGCAAAGCAGCTAGTGATTCGAACTGCAGACCTTTCAGATCACAGCCCAACACGTAACCAGGAGCAGACACTTACTCCTTGGGAAATACTTATTTAGGGACTTTATAGGCAAGTAAATGATTTTTTTTTTCTTCATTCCTTCTCACATTCAGCATCCTGTTGCATAGTCTTACCCAACATCCTTACAACAAGGCCATAAGGTTGATTTTATCTTGGCAAATAAAGCAAACCCATGAAAGTTAATTTGTCAACGATTTCTTAGCTACTTTGTGATAGAGAAAAATTAATTGTGATCCTTGAAGTCAGTGCTTCTCAAGTTCTAATGGAGTCAGAATCCCCAGGAGTTACAAATGCATAGTTGAAAGTAGAGGCTGGGCTTGTAGAAAGTACAACTCAAGAATACTATAAATAATATACTTTTCTTTTATATAGCTGCTTTTCTGTTTCCAGCAATAGCTGTGTTCTAAAGTTGATTTCCTTAATACTTAAGAGGAGACTTGACACAAAAACAAATAAGCAAACCATCAAAAAGCTTATTGCCACAAAGTCAATTCCAAGTCATAATGACCCATACAGTGGTGGTCCCAGAAATTGCACCCAGACAAGTTAATCTTCAAAATGAAATAAAACAAGAACTCAAGAGATTTTTTGTTAATGAGTCATCATCTTCTTTACTTTTTTTAAGGGCCCGGAAGTCTTTCCCAGAAATCCTCACAGCAGACTTCCTTCCACTTCCTTTGCCCATTATTCATGTCACTTGCCCAAATGTTAAGAGAATAAGATGCTACAGAGCTGGCTAGGGTAGGGATAGTGGAGGATATACCAGGGGCCTTAAAAAAATTTGTGGGTCGGACAGGGCAAGATATGACAAAATACCCATTTATAAA